CCGATTCCCCCCGAAGAAGCTGAGTCTTGGATTGGATTGGATTTATTTGATCTTTTCATATGCACATATGATCCCTTTTCTTCAGGGGTGAGCTGTGTTGCGCTCACAGATCTTTTATTATAGTATTAAGGGTTGCCTTTGTCTTCCGAAGAGTCGTCTGGGTAGTGTTAGGCGAAAGTCCTATTCGGAGAGGAAACTCCTCTGGTGAGAATGTATCTTCCTGGAGAGAAGAGCCCGTGGTGTCCTGTTCCGTCATGCGCCGAGGGCAGTCTTCGTTCGTCGACTTCGGATGACGTCCGCATTGCGCGGTACCTCGGGGATACCTTTTCGTTCTGGAGTCAAATTCACGCTGCTTGACCAGTCTCGTCTGCCTGAGAGGTGGCTTCTGCTCTTGTGTCGACACTCATCGATCGCATCTGAAGGTGGGGGGGTGTCTCCCCGTGTGTTGCAAACGACATTGCCCCCTCCCCCCTCTTGCTGAATGCGGTCTATATGCTCCAGCTTCTGAGTATCCTTGTCTTCGGACCGCTGAAGAAGGCCGTGAGATGAATACCGATGGATCCATCACTCTCGTTCAGCGAGTTTTCCTTAGCTCCGACCCCGCCTGTCTGACCGATAGATTCAGACGCTGTGGCATATGATCGTGGGATTCGGATGCAGTGGATTACACTGAATGTTGCTGTCTACATGGAAGAGCTATCGTAGACACTCGAGCCAGTGACGCGAAAAGATTGAGCCTTGCCCATCATGGTATAGGTCGAGCAGGGATTGAGCTCTAGATAGCAGCCCATTCTATTAGGAAACCAGCAAGGTGAATGTAATGGATTCGGGAGTAAGAGAGATTTGCACAACATTCGGAGAAGGCCGATCGCCAACCTCTGCCGCATCCATTAGCATTCGACTAGGATTCCATCGATTTGACGTGAGAGAGTCTTCTGCACCCTCCGCATAGAGTCCGAGCTCTTATTACAAGGGTGGCCTTCATGCGCTTCCGTCGATTCTCCTTTGTAGCTTGCTGGATGAGTTTTCCGAAATCGTTCCTGAAGTTCCTGGTTTGTGGAGCGTTCTCGATTTTCTCGTCAATGACTGCTGCCGGGAATTTAGTGCAGCATTCCTCCGGGAATTCACGGCATTCCTTGACCCTCATAGTCTTTGTGGGAATCGCCTGGAGATGCAGGGAGCACGAAGAGCCCTTGACGCGATAGCGTCGTATTCCCACCCCTAGTCATGGTACTGGCAGACCAGCAGCAGTACTTCGATTAGGGAGTCTCGAGCTACGAATAGGGCCACACGAGGAGCGCGGAATCATCAAGCTCCGTTTCCAGCCGTGAGGCAGCATCGGGATCCGGGCACATTCGATCGTCTCTGCGGCCGAGCTCCTTGGCGGAAACTGGAGCTGGTCTGAGGTGCCCCATCTGTAGTCACGGGATGTCCCTTGCGCAGTCGAGGGTGCTCCCGGAAAAGGACGGTGTTTCTTCGCCAGGAGGATGTGTTCGATAAGAGCTCAATCGTTTCCCATAGCTGGTCCACTCACCGGATGTAGGAAACTTCGAGTCCTCCCGGAGAGCCATGAGGGAATGTCGGAGCTCTGTAATCTCAGGTGAAATACGGAAGGATCGGATCTATCTCTATGTCGCATTCCGCGCATCCAGGGGTCGTTGGCGACTTCCGTATATTTCCCGCAATTTCTGCGATTTCTGTCAGTTCAGAAGACGAGTAGGTATTCATCTGATTTCGCTTGGAAGACGCCCTCGAGTCATGAGGAAGGACGTTCGCAGAAAACTCGCGCTATCAGACTCGTAGACATCAAGTCTCAGGGAATAGCGTTAGTTTTTGAGGGTTCAGACACGGAAGCCAGAATCGCAGAAGCCAGAATCGCAGAAACCAGGATCGTAGAAGCCCGAATCGCAGAAGGCAGAGTTCTCATGAGCCGGAATGGACCGTCGCCCAGTCGGCGCCTCCCGATGCGCAACGAAGCTCTTGTATCTTTCATCGCAAGTGAGCCTGCGTTTCTGATTCCGGAACGATAAACGCGCACGCGCGAAGTGTCGCTCTAGAGATGTACTGGTACCTCAGAGGAGACGGAACGTCGCACAGAGAGTGGCCGCTGCAGGTTTCAGCTGCTAACAAAGGCTTTGTCGTTCCATGAGCTGTAGTGTTGTGTGAATATTATCTGAGTGATGAATGTGAGTTCGGTGATGTGTTGAAGAATGACCCAAGATCAGAATAAAAAGTAGTCAGTGAATCAGGGTTTGTCTCCGAATCTTTGTAGTCTTCCCGGACAGGTTGATCTCGGATCCCAGTCGCGATTGCGGTTCCCAGTCTCGACGTCTCTACTCGAAGACAAGGTCTCTCGAAGGACTCGACAACTTCCGAGTCGGGCTCGAGGGATGTTACTTTTGGCCTTGAGTATCACAGGACAGCCCGCAATCATTAGAAGGTTCCGGGATAGTCTCCGAAAATTTAGGAACAGTATTGCGATGCACACGTGACAAGTTTCTTCCCGAGTGATGTTGTTCGACACCTTGTCTGCGCGGCTCCGGATTGTTGTCATTGGGTTTGTATGACAATATTCGTATTACAAATGGAGTCATATTTAGCCCCATATGTTAAACTCCGAGTCTTCGTACTCCTTCCTTCGAATCCGCGGTAGCACCGGCTTATGAGAATTCTGGCCTATGAGAATTCTCGCTTTTGCGATTCCGGCTTCTGCGATTCTGGTTTTTGTGATTTTGACTTCTGAGATAGTATCTTTTTGAGTACTTGCCGCGAGATCGAGGCATACAGTGAATTCCGCTTCATGGGAATAGCGGTTGATGGGATCCTCTGTTTGATCGGGTCGCTTCCGGAGAGTCCCGACCGTATGGGCTCCACTGATTTCGACTCCTGATAATCGGATTCCCGCTCAATCGAATCGGAATGGCCTAGTCTTGATGTGTTTCCACTCAGCGGACACTGTTTTGACATTTGTGGCTCCAAGCGACTCGCAGCGACCGAGGATCTTGCGAGGCACTTCCTCGTTTGGCTTCCTTTGAACCTCTGTCTTCCGTTCGTTGCGTTCCGAGTTCTTCCTTTTCGTTTCTCCTCGGTTTCTATCGGATTCCGCGGACGATCTTCCGCCATACCAATGACCCATGACTGTAGCAGCTCACCCTACAGAGGTTTCTTCTCATCGCTCAGCTCGTCACTGCAAGAATGAGGAAATCGCGCATGATGAAGAGAATGACGCAATTCTCTCGAGAAGAATGACAATAACTCTGCATCGCGTCTCACATCTGAAATTCGCATCTCCACCAATAAATTCCAGGAAGATACACGTGTTTCTCACCGGTAGATGCATTCTCGTGCGGAGAGGTGTCAGAGAATGACCGATGGAAGGTTGTCCGGAATTCTGTGCAGTGTACGCCCGGAGAATCACAATCGTTTTCCTGTCGATTCCTGACCGGCCTCGGAATTCCGTGAACGTTGAGAATTCCAGATTTGACAGAATCGAAAAGATGAGCTCTCGGAAGAACAACCAAAAGCGCTTCTTTACGGCAAACATCGCGAATTTCTCCTTATACGGATTCTGGAGCGGATATTCAGAATTCACGCTTCCCTTCATCGCGCGGGACACAGGCGAGGGAACGAAAGCTTTCCAAAGAAATATTCACTCCCCGAATAAGGGAATTGGTCGATGGAGAGAGGGCGCTTTTTGGTCGCGGGAAACTCTGGCTAGTTCTATGCCCGGATAATTTCGAACGCCACGCTCTGTGCGCACTGTCGTTTCCCTATCCACCCATAATCAGATTCCGGACCGAGAGCCCTTATCTCACTTTCCAGGTGGGCTACCGGTGGCTCCCGGAGGATTCGAGCTTAGAATCCGCCAAATGATTGAATGTGAAAGCTCCTGTAGGATCGCGAGCGCGTGGATCCCTTGGCGACGCCGCGCCGCTGCTCACAATATATAACCATCGAAATTGAATTTCGACGTTCTGTCATCCTACCACTGGCGATGAGTGAGTCCACTTCCTCGGCAAGCCTCATCGGTTGCTTCTACTCCTATCCCGAATGCTCGAATCACGGTGCATCGGAGTCCTTTTCCGTTTTGTGATTGTGGTTTCTCTCCCGATGGCTTGCGTTTACCCTACGTCACGGCCTGTTTCCTAAGCCCCGACAGCTGGCATTGTTTGAATTCAGGGCAGGTCCGGGATACAATTTGAGGGGCAACTCCCTGAGAGTCGAAATTCTAGTAAGCCGTATGTCCCTCAGAACCACGGACTGGAGCTGGAATTGATCCCTTCACTGGGCCATTATTCTAATCGTATCTCGGGCGGATCGAATTTCGAGCTCGCCGAAATTGTTTCCGTTCAGAATGGCATGCCTGATAGAAAAAGACTTTGAGTTTCCGGCTGTCGATGTTTGGGCAAACAAATACTCATCTAAAGTGACAAGTCGAGCGAGAAACAGGAAAGAGAAACTCAGCCGAAGAAGATCCGCCTTGATTGAGGTGTTTGACAGCGGTGGATTTACATGTGGACGCCGCCAACGATCGGAGAGAAGAGCCGATTCGGGAAAAGACAATCTGCTTCCCCAGTCGTTCGGATAAATGTGGTGGCCTTCGAGTTTCAGCGCGGATTATTAGACATCGTTCGTAGCTTGTTCGCCTTCTTTTGAGATCTAAGATCTGCTGATGGACGGACGGGTGACTGTTTGCCTGTCTGTCTGTCCGTCAACTTACCTGGCTGGCTGGCGAAAGAATAGAGTGGTCAAGCGTCGTTTTGTCACAACGACGCTCGCGCAAGCATCAATTTAGAGCTCCTTGAGGAACAAATGATCCAAGCGAGCGCTTTCTCATGGACCAGACACTCGATCTCCACCTCCTAATCGTTGCGCCGAGGAGCGACGCATGTGCTATCCATTGAGGAAGGAAAGGAAAAAAAATCGAGCCCATTGGCTCAATACCGCACCCTGAAATTCTTGCAGTCGACAATGGAAACGAACAGATGAAGACGTGGTTTTTGAAATCAGCGATTTATCTCCGTCCCGCGGCCCTTGAGACACTTGTACATGTTTCCTTTTCTCTTGAGCAGCGTGAGTTATTGAACTATTTACAGTACGAGTTCCGAGATTGCATATTTGGCTTTAGAATGTATTTACGGAGCGGTCTTACTCGACGGCCCCAAGACCGTCGCGACGGCTGCTACAGATCGCTGACACGGCCTACGAACAGAACCGCGTTCGATTCGACGTCTTCGATTATGAAAAGGAACGGACGATCTGCTTTGAACTCAGCCACCTGCGGATTCATGAGACTCGAATGCCGATTGATGCCGGTGGTTGTCGCCAACGCTATTGTGCCCTCCTCGTTGACGTCCACAATAGCCTTGTGGTAGATAGTGTCAAGAGCTATCACAGGAAATCGCGATATGCCTGTCAAGTTCGCGTGGCGCGGCGAGAACATCGAGTTCAGGCCCACGTCTTGGAGAGGACCCCGCATGTCGTAGCCGAGGTTCAGTGAGAATTTGGGCAGCGTGAGCTTGACCCTTTGCTTGATGACCGAACTGAGTTGGTCTCGAATGTCTTTGTAACTTATCGTCTGTTCGAGTCGGTAGAGATCCTTGCTGTCTTTTGGCAAAATAACAATCATCACGATATCCTCGCCCTTGTAAGGGAGCTCCACGGCCTGATATTGCGGCGTGTCGATGTGGATGAAAGCTCCTTCCTGGTACATGAGCTCGACGTTGTCGTTCACCCTACTCGATCCGTAGAATTTATTTCTCTTCGTCGACTCGTTCCTGAACGGATGGAGCCAGTTTCCTCGGAAGTAAACGGCGTTCAGCATCACGAGAGGGATCGTCGCAGGCAGAGGCCTTTCGAGGAGAACCGGGATTTTCCCATTGGTCTGATCCTTAACCCAATGATTGAGGTCGGAAACCGCCTCCTCGGGTTGATCCTTGAGCGGCGCCGAGTACAAGCCGGCTTTGTAGAAACGACTGAGACCATCTCGATACTGGACGTTCACCTGGAGCCCGTCCGTGACAAAAACGCCGTTCGCGATTTGTAGGTCGAACTGGTCGACGAGCGGCAGGAGGGTAGTTATTAGTTTGCGAACGGCCTCGTGCAGCGTTGAACCGTTCAGTGCGAACTTTTGCAAGCCGAGTACGTCCTCCATTTCCTCGGCGGTTTTGCCGCGAGCACCGAGATGAATCATGCCGACGATTGCCGATACCGATATGGGCGACAGGAAAATGTTGCCTTCCCGTCGGCTGAGTTCGCGATACACTTTCTCTCCGAACACATTGAACACCGACACAGCTTTCCTCGTATCCTTGTCGATCGGTGCGCGGTCCTCCGCCATCACTGCAACCATGGCGATGCATCCGCACAGCATTAATGTTCTGAACATCATCGTGGACGGATTGAACGTTTCCCGACGACGAGGTGGCACTCGAGCCACACACACAGTGTTGCAGAACAATTGTCGGTGTCTCCTTTCGCGCTGTACGAGATAAAAGCAAAGGCACCAAGGAGTTGACGCGAAGGCGATGGTCAGCGGCGGTGTTCTCTCCGTTCACTCACTCACTACTCACCGACCGACCGACCGACTGGCGTGGTGGAGGGGAATCTTCTTTCAGAATCGTAACCAACGAAAAAAAACGTCGCTAAAGCATGGTCGACTTGCGTGCTGGATCTTTCGTCCGCTGACGTCACCGGCCGTCACCAGCCGTCACCACAGCTCTGTCCGTCGGGACTTTCTGCTGTCGACGTCGTCGTCGTTTTTGCGGTCGATATACGTCGGCGCGACGGTGGCGCGGAGTCACCCCCTTGCTTTCCGGAAATATAGGTACGGCGGTCTAAAAGCGTCCCCTCCACCGCCAATACTTTAGGCTCTATCGCGTAGAACGCATTGGCTGCTCACCAGAAAAAACCCTGAGAGAAGCTCTTGTTCAGCTATGATTCTCGAGCTGCCTCCTTTTGTTCAACTTTTGCCGCTCTGGAGACTGCGGGACTGACGTTGCTTCGGGGTGCTGAGAGTTCAGCAGAGTAGTCCGGCCATTCATCCTGAGCCTCGAATCCCTATATTGAGGGAAGGACCATGGATTTCAACGATCAAATTTTTCTATTCTCCCAAAAGCATAGCGATCGATGGAATCTATGAAAGGGCTTCCTGTAGCAATTACCGGAGCGAACTCCTCGGCTATCTCCCTTCCGTAGAGATCTCTCGCGTGCATCTTCCCGCGACACCGGGTGCTTGTTCCTCCGAGTGAGTTCCGCTCCTGGGTCCGGTGAAGTATTGCGGTCGGAGCTCTGACTCCGCCCTCGCGATTGAATGGGACCGGGATCCCGCGCATTCGACCCAGCGGAGCCCCGAAACTTCGTGGGGAGGTCAGCCCGAAAATTAAGAGGAGACTTCCCGAACATGAATTCTTGATCAGAAACACGGAGAATTCCCACCGATAGGGAGAGGAAACAAGAACATTCACATCAATTTCCTTCCTTGCGGAACTCGAGAGATAGGATCCGGATTGCTATCGAAACCTCGAACGGCTTCGCCTAAAGTCACTGGAACGGGAGGGGATAAACTTCATCCGGCGTCGCTAGTACTCTGTAGATAATATCAAGTCTGATTCCAGCCGGAAGAATAGAAAGAAAAAAAGCAGCGTAGCCCATGTTAAGCCTCAACTTCAAGCGAATTCGCCTTGCACAGAATACTAGCCTTGGAACGTGTAAGGCATTCTATGTACAATGCTGACATCCGACGTCACCGCCGACGCTGGCCGATCTGGCGAAACTCATTCAGAATATTTGTCAACAAGACGAGAAATCGTGTAGCCGCGAGAGCTACTTCGAGGGAGGAAAACTCTCAGACCCCGACGCCGAATGCGAATTCCCTCCGCTCCGAATAATTCTTCTTTGCGATGAGCGAATCTTCATGAATCAATCCAATATGTTCAATCCTCAGAAAAGTAAAAGAATCCGCAGACTCAGGAGAATTCTGAATCTCCTGAATACATACTTCGGGAATACTTGCAAGATCGCAGCATGGGAATTTTTCCCGGGATGAAGCATCCCGTGTTGTTGCTCCCGCCAAGGGCTTCTAGAGCACCATAGGGCGCGGCGGATCATGATCGGGACCCGTATGTTTTCAAGCTGCAAGAACCAAGGTAAACTCATTGGAACTCCTCCGCGAGCCTCCCCAGAAAGAAGCCTCTGCCGACGAATAGTTTACGAGCTCAGTTGGCGTGGCGTCTCTGCTCGATGTACGACGAGCACGCGAATCCCTGCTAGCTGTGCTCGCGATTCGACCGTCTCGTCGCTCCTTGACGAAACTTGACGGTTTGTCTCGCAACTCGCAACGCGACAAGTCAGCGGAGGACGGCGAGCGACCGGGTTGTGTTGAAGTACTGAGTCGCAGGTGTTCGAAAGAGAGCCATTAATATTCATAGCTTAATTTTCTCGTTCGCTACATCCATAAGTCTCGATACGGTTCGGCGAGATTGCATCACCGTTCCATATTTCCGTTCCCCTTATTTCGATCGGCAGCGAGTTCCATCGAAGAGATATGTTCTTCGAGGAAACAATAATGCTTCTTCGCAAGGCGGAGACACCTGACTTGTTTCGGAGGAGAGAAACAGAAACGGTGGCGAAACACATCGATTGTTCTCGAGGAAATTGAATTTATTTTGTCAGACGACACCAGTCAAGGCATTCCGGAAACTGCTCGACGGAACTCTTCGGCGTTCCCTCATAGCCTGGAGACTTTCCCGGCGAAGATTATCAGATTCGTTCGGGAGTCGCGTATGAGGAAGATGAAAGGTTCGTTCGCCTGGAATTTCACGAATTTCGCTCGAGTTGCATGAGCTGCAACGGTTGTAGCAGCTGCAGTCGTTCCTTGTTCGTTGACCTGGATGGGGGGGTTGGAATTTCCATTGAACTCTCACTTTGGACATTCGACGTATGCAAGAGGCCGAGCGATTCAAATCGAACTCACGTCAATGACGGCTTGGTGCCAGAATTCGTTTATGTAGAGATTGTCGTATCCAGTGAAATAGGGCAGCTCGGCTTGGTTGGGATCGAACGGCGCTCGCATGCTCATCTTCTGTAGGTACTCCTTCATATTCAGCTGAGAGCTCACCTGATTGAAATAAACTTCATGAAATAAAATTTCGTACTCATTCCACACAGATGTTGACAGCGGCCTGAATACTCCATCTACGAGGCTGGAATTCCCGTTAGTATTCAAGAAATTGATGTTCTCCGCTAACGGTCGCTGCATGAGGAATCCGAGCCGGCCTTGAGCAACAGAAAAATGAGAGCGAAAAGTAACATCTCGAGACACACGTTTCGCCAGCCGCTGAAATCACATTACAGCTCAGAGAGGAAACGACAATTAATGGAAAATTTCCTCACCCTGAATTTAGGAAGTTCAATTTCCACGAGCTGGGGCTCCAGCGCCAAGACGATTTCTGTCAAGTCGTCAACCTAATTTAAGTTCGAAAAACGTTAATCCCATTTCTCCAAACTGAATTGCATAAAAATGCTCCACAAAACTCCTCCTTCATAAATAACGATCGGGACATAGGTCGGCACACGAGGAAGTTCAATCCAGCTGGTGAGGCAGCGCGGCGGGAAAACCAATAAGCAGAATTCCCGTTCTGAGTTTCTGAGATTTCAACTTCGAATGTATGGATGATTGACCGGAGTTCGACATCGTTGCGAAATTCAGCCAGAAATTCTCCTTTTCACTAAATTTCGAAGTCTTATCCTTTTGAAAAGGATGCTCATTTATCACCGAGTGTTCCCTCTCCAGAAACTCTCATTCGATTCCAATGAAGATCTTGCGATATCTACTCGAATAGCGGGGAGAAATATAATCCAGGGCTAGAACGGAGCCGACAGGGAATCGCATAGGCACGATACGCTCAAATATCTGATCGTGCTCTTTCGGCTACTCTCCAGGAAGCAAGTTTGTGAAGGGGACCTTCTCCCCCTCCGAGACTCGTATGGAAGAGCTCCAATCTATTCTTTGAAGGCAAACGTTCGCAGGATGTTCTGATGTAACTCGTGGAATCCATACGAATATGATATCGCATTGCAACTTCCTCTTTTTTCCTCAGTGAATCGTTGTGACCAAGAATTGCGAGCTCCGCTTCAGCAAAGAATACCAAGAGCGGAAAAGAGTTCTGCAGATCCATCGACAGATAATGACCAGCAACTCTCAGAAGGTCTCTGCGATAATTCTCGCCCAGATCCGAACGCTCAGATAATCGCGGCACGCTTGAATATGCGAAATTTTCTGACGTTGATCTCATCAAATACTCCCGTCGCTCTGTATTTTTGTACATTTCTCGATCTTGAAACTTGAGATAGATAACTTCTCGTTCCGCCTGGAATGATAGCTAATCTAGCTAATAATAATATTCTTCGCTTCCTATAAGTTCCGGTAGTTCCTACAGGATTTTCAATAGCTAGGATTCAGCTCCAACGAGCGATTCGGATCGCCATAAGACTTTCGATTCCGTATTGAATTCGATACCTTGAGGTTGTCGATAATGCTTCCCATCTTGGATGCATCATCGGGTAGTAGTATGAGCATCCGCAATTGGTATCCTTTGTAGCCAAGATCGAGGGCCTGCAATCTCAGCCTGGAAGGCGGACAATGATTTTTAGATCGTAGGAACTCGGAACACATGGCCTCCGTCCCAGAGCATTGCGCTCGAATTGTTGCTTGTATGATGATCGTCGTGATGCTTGGAGGGATTATTGGAACGAGTATGGACGTGTCCACATCCAGGAGCGTTCGTCAAAGGTCAATCTCAGGAATCCTCGCGATTCCGGGATGCGGTGACATTCACGAGGAATATCTGACGGGAGAACTCGGGGCATCCAGCGTCTAGTTCAAGAGAGCAATGTGGAGCTACCCCTGTTGTTCGACAAGAGAGGGACTTCTCTCTGGACGGATCCCGCTCCTTCCCTGACCTCCGTGAGGACCCGTCCCATGCTTCTGCTCGTGCCCTTTTACGCCTGATGTACACACGTCATTTTGCTCTCAGTCAGCAATGCGCTCATCCCTCAACCGTCGAGGAACGACCCCGAAGTCATGTCTTGGAAGATATAGGTAACGGAGAAGTCGCCGGGAGAACCTAGCGGGAGCTCAACAATGTGGGAGCTCAACTCAACCATTCTTATGTCATTTATGGAAGGGAGCGCATTCCCTGACGATCTTTCCCCAAGTCCGCTCACGACATTTTGGGTGAGAATTACTTCTCCCCCTTTCCTGTCGGGGGTACACGACCAGATATTTAGGGAGTCCATAGATGAGCACTCACTTCGGATAATAGGCGTATTGGAAGTAATCCAACATTCTCATCATGTCGACTTCCTTGGCATACGCTTTCTGTCCTTCGTTGAAAAACGTTCCGCGCACGGTGTTTTTAGCATCGAATTGTTTTTCCCATATCCCTGCAAGGGTCGAAGTATCCATCAAATGAGCTCCGTAGAAAACTCTCGAGTCGGATGCATCGTTCAATATTAACGCGCCGCCGCACGGATGCCCTGACTGAGCAAATACTTCACTAGATCACTGCGCTGCGCCTGCGAAAAGATTATGTTCGCTCCTCCGGATGTTGGGGATCTACCTTTGAAGTAGATGATGTTCGCCAGCACCATGACCGTGTTCGGCGGTATTTCCTTGTCGCCGAAGGCTTTCTTGATGTTCCCCTTCGTTTTCACCGCTACAAGCGTATCCAGGATTTTCAGCGTATCCGCGCGAGCGAAGTTCACCTGGATTTCCAAGTCTTCTTAGCGACCCCTTCACGGAGCTCTGACGCCGAGCGACCTAAGTATCCGAGTCTCGAGGATTTTTCGTAGTGTTGTAGCTCACCTCTTCGACGTTTGTGCCGAAATAGGTCGTGAGCTTCTGCTTCATTTCGGGGAGTATTTTCAATCTCGCGTCGACCTGCATCATGTTGAGATCGATCAAGTCGTTTTGACCGGTTTCCTGACTGATCAGAGTCCGCGCTGACTTAAAACCATCCAACAAGGATTGACGCAAATCCTTCGTATGACTGTATCCTGTGGGGGCAAGGTGAGTCCTCAGTGCCACTATCATGAATCAGTCCCGTCAGCATGCAGGCGAGAACAAGACGGCATAGACGATGATCCTATTATATTCAAACAATAACGCTGCTCACCCATCACGCGAGCGAGTTCCTCGGCTGACCTTCCAGCTGCTCCCTGGTACGTCATCGCCAGCACGGTCGAGATCGAGAAAGGCGCAATGAATACATTGTACTGGTCCGAAACTCTTTTGAATAAATCCAGAGCAAGGCCATTGCTGGAGTTCGACACCCGGATCGCGTTTCTTCCGGGAAAAAAAATGATTCAGGAGAATATTAGGGCTTGCGTATCGACGAGGGTAAGTGCTCGGGTAATAGGGCTCCGAGAATCAGGAAATCACGGGACTCGTTCGGAAAAGGAAATGGATCAGCGGGTAGCGCTCGAGAGGAGTCGGTCAATTGGAGAAAAATGATCCCTAGATTCTTAATCCATGAACTTTCGCGGAAAGTTCCTCTGACCCGCCCGTTCCCGAAGGTCTCGAAGCTCTTGGGGTCTTCCCGGTAGGCTCTGCTAGAGAACAGGTTGGCGGCTATCGAGCATCACAGCTCCCGCCGCTGTCACTGATGTCGCTGCTCACAACAGAGGCCCGAGGCTGATAAAAGCTCGCAATCCTCCGAGGGTTTCTTTTTCGAGAGCCTGCCTAGAGAGGGAATCATTTGCGACAAGCAGACATCCGACCTTCAGTTAGTTAATCACGCATCGCAGAGAAACTCCGCAGTCGGAATCGCAATCGAGTCTCCGAAAGGACTCTCGGCACGGCGGAGTCGAGTGGCGGTTACGAGCTTACCGGGAGCGTCAAGTAAACAACAACATGGTAACCTCAAACTCCCGGCAGTCGGAGCGACCCTCCCGCAAGGTTGAGCGGTCGCGGATCGCGTCTGCGTGATGGAGAAAACCTCACTCACCCGATCGAACGCAGCAGAAAATCGTATTCCGGAGTAGCCGGGCTCTGTCCGCTAGCGGTTCTGACCCACGACACGCTCAGGAAAATCACCGAGAAGACTAGAAACCTCATCATGGAGCCGTTATCGGTTGATCAGGTAGAGGATTCTCCGCGTTCCTACGATCAACCATTCGGTTCGTCCAATGAGCGAGTCTGCATTCACGTTGCGAACACCAGTATTTCTCTCCTTTTCGAAACGACGAACAAAGCGTAGATCCCTGCACCGATCCCTCACTTCAGAACTTGACACTCGATGTCATTCCCCAACACCGCTGTCGCGCAGGTGTAGTCGTCGATTTCGACTCGGCCGTCAAACCAGCCGATAACCGACGATTCGATGGTTCGGAAAACCCACAGATCGACGGAAGACGATGCGTGGTGTCTGTTGTGTAGAGAAAGCCAACACAGAAAGAGAAAACTTCACAGAAACCAACGGCAATCAGCAAGACGGCAGCAGCACCAGCACCGCGTCACAGCAGACTGTGTGTGTGTGTGAGTGAGTGAGTGAGTGAGTGAGTTTATTCGCGAGTGTCTTGCCTATGAGTGTCCAGTGTTGTTGCCAAGGAGGTGGACGAAAATCTTCTCCAGTGTCATCATCATGTGCCGCAAACGACGAGCAAAACACTCTCCCCAAGCTGCTCGTCTACTGCGCTCCATGTCACTCCATGTCACGCGCTTTCGAGGAAGCTCGAGGATCGAGTTTCAGTGTCGTTTCGCTTCGTTCTTGTTTTATTTTCGTTGGGAAAAGGAGAGCACGGTGCGCAATCCGCTCTATCATCGGCTGCTTCTAACATCGAGCTTCTGCTTGGCGCATCTGCTCGATTCGTCCTCATGATGAATCCGGATACGACTTCACACTTCAGAGGCAGCGTCGCTACACTCCTGATCCCTCGATGCCTTACCGTGTGGCGAAATTTCGTTCTCCGTGTGATAGTGTCAGAGCCTCTTTCAGAGTCATTAGGAAATTATAGGGTCCTGACGTGACTACTCCAGCCGTGTCTCTTAGCGAGGTGCTTTAGGGCAAGCGATTCCATAGGTAATCAATTCACGGCGAATTCTTTCCAAGCGAGGTATCATGGGGACTCTCAATCCATGGCCTTGTCCCGAGACTCCAATGCACAACTGGTATTTCGCGTGGGGCTTCGTGATTCGGCTGCGTGTGCTGAGAGGGTTCGAGTGGAGCGGGCTGTCTCGGCCTGGGGCGTCCTGAGGGTTTCCTGCGGAGGTTCTTTCATGAGGTTTCTCTTCCGGGTTTCCGTCAGAGTGCCGGCGCCGGTGCCTACCGGGATATTCCGATTCTGGCTCCGGACAGGGTGCAGGCGACGGCCTCGATATCAATCCGTCATCAGCGTCAACATTAGTCCGCGTGTTTAGATATTGGAACGTTATGGAACGTGGATCATAGAAATATGGCCTAACTATGGAGAGACTTCCACCGTCATCCTCCGGGAGTTGGAGGGATTCTTCGCGCAACCCCGCTCTGGAATCAGGCTCGAGCCGAATTGGCCTGAGTCTCTCTCTTGCTGTTACGTCAATTTTCATCAAAAAGGTGTCTTGTTTCTCTGGGATCTCTCCAGCTCCTCAGACTGCGTAGTAGTCACTTGGGAGGATGAGGTAGGTGGCTTTTAGGGCTGGCAGGACAGTACCGCGGGCGCGACCCCAACGCGGGATTGATGAATTCATAGGGGATGGGTTGCAGGCTCGATCGGTCGGCAGCAGGTCGGCGAGACCGACGCCCTTTCGGTGTCCGCGGAAATGAGCCTTTCGATTGACAAGAGAAAGGCATCTGTTACATCTTCGAATCAAATTCCGGCTGGGCGTCTCCGCAATGGTGGGCCCATCCGACGGAAAAGATTGAGGGAGGCCGCCGAGACGCTGACAACATGTATGAATTGCAGGAGAGATTATCGTCGGAGATAATGGCATTTTTTCTCTCCACAAATGAGCCGTCTCATTCAGCGTTTCGACTGTAGGCTGTCGAGATGCGTCTCAAGGGCAAAGTGTCACATTACTTCCGAGATTCTCCCGAACCCATCATCGTGAGAAGGAATAAATACGAGCGCAGTCGGGACCGGGAATTTATTTGCGAATCATCATCGAACGTTCCAAAATCATTCCCTTACTGAATCGAAATGATTGCAAGAAGACCGAATTACAGGCTCGCGCATTTTAGGAAATATTACTGACTGAGCAGAAACCCGTGGATATCGACCCCGACTTTCTTTTCTAAAATCTCACGTCTTCTCAGCGAAGCCGGAGAGTTATTTTCGCGAACTCGAGACTTCGCTTCTATGCGCCAGCCTGCTGTCTCGCCTTCCTGATCGAATTTAAGCTTTCCGTTTATCATTGTTCTCTAGGTCGTCGTCTTCGTCGATATCATGTTTCAGTCATTATCATATTAAAGCACGGTCCCTCCGTGCCGCTCAGACGATCTACACCTGATGACACAGGGACACAGACTAGGTTAACATCGCGTTAATCGCACTTTTCCTCTTTCATTCAATTATGATTCCTTTCGAGCAGGTGATATATGTATCCGATGAACTCTTGTCGTTACACCGCTCGTATCTTCGTGGATGCCTCCTTCCGTGACGAGAGATGAAAAAGTTGCAGGTTTCCCTCGGAGGTCTTCCGATGCATGCTCCGACTCTTGCGCTTCTCCCGCTCGAACATGGAGAATGAGTCGATGAACTCACGAATATCGATGGTCGGGAATTCCGATTTCCCAGAGCGGGGGAGTGGATCGAGGTAGTGAATAAGTTAGGTTTTTTTGGCACAACCGTCATCGGAGTTGACACTGAGCGACGGAGTTTCTCAAGTCTTTCGGATTCCTTTAAATGAAATCATTTCACAGAATGAGCGTCCTCATTGCTTCTACCATAACTCGCATGGTCATCACCTAGACCGTTCCTAAAAATTGAAATTCAAAGAAGGAAATCGAGCGACCTGATGACCGCAGTGCGGACTATGTACACCATTTACACCCAGTTTCACCACAATGCGATGAAATCGCTGATATTCTAGCATTCCGGCACATATTGGAATTTTCTAACATTGCGTTGCCTAGAAACCGTTTCCGTCTTTCTATTCCTCGCCCCCGGGGGAATGTGTCTATCTGCCGTCTGTCAGGAACCTCCTCTCTCTAGGCCTCCTCCATTCCACCTGCTAGTTCATTGGTGCATCCATTTCCTCGACCGACCGACCGTCCGTCTTTTCGGCCATCTGACTGATTCGCTGACTGGCAGGCTCGTCTGGACTAGGTGGAGGTTGAGTGGGGTGCGGCAGCGAGACACGAGAGCAGTGAAGTTAACATTCTTAGTGGTAGCCCCCGTTGGACATTCCGTAGTGACTCCGGTGCGGATCTTTCGTGGAGCGCTGAGAGTAGCTGAAAGTTTTTTGGAGTTCATGAGCGAAAAGTTCAACCAGAACGGCATCGCCGGGGCCAGCCATGGGAATCGGTCTTGGAGAGTCATTCTAACTCTGTGAAATATAGAGCCTCTCCGTCCTGTCATTCTTTCCCGAGGGAAAATGAATAAAGAATCATTCCTGAACGGTCTTCAGAGGGCTCTGCCCGGAATGGTGTGAAACTCACCGAGAATGAGGTCTCGAGTGGACTGTGGTATAGTGATCGCTGGCGTTCGAGATATGGCTGCGTCCTCCTAGAGTGGACATTCCACCGTTATAGGGCTGCTTATGAAGCGTGGTATGCGAGCCGTAATGCGATGCGGGGTAGTAGGACCCTTTGTAGGGATCGTAGTCTTCGATTTCGGACGGTTCTTTCTCCTCGATCTGTAAGAACACGACCGGCTGAGCATTTCGGTAGTTGCGTACGTTTATCCAAGTGAAGCTCCGTCGGTGAAGTTGTGTGGACTCTGGTCGTTCACCGCCGTTGCGGGAAAATATTATTTTTGAGAGAGGGCGTTGAAGACGTGTCGAGAAGAAGAAAAAAATGGAGACCAACGTACCTCCTGGTTTACGCAAGAGCAGGTGAGCGATGAGCAGAGGAAGATGTTCACGATCAGCATAATCAGGAGCAGAATCGCCAGCGATATGCAGAGTCCGATTAGCCAGGGGAAACGCCATTCCGTGCATTCGCGCAGCGGACTGGCAACTGCAAAACAACAATTCATGCCCTTCTCTTAATCGGAACAATAGCATCAAGCCAACGAACCACGGAAGCGTGGTCGGACAATCGTTTCGTGTGAGCGGATCCGGATCGAGATGGCGGCGAACGAAAAAAAAATTCTTCGGGAACATATCACTCGAAAGAGATCGGCATCACCTGATCCTACGGAGCAGAGCTAGATCCCATGAGCTGGGCGAGCGTAAATTTGGAAGATAGGTTCGATTGTACTCTGCGGGAGAGCGATCAATGAATTCCTGTGGTTCCCAGGTCTACTCCCCTCGTCTCAAAGCTCGGGTCACAAATCACAAATACGTGAGTGCATAGGTATGAGCTGTGGAGCTGAGAACAATCAGCCGTTCGAGACGTCGACGGAGCCGGAGACGATCCAGTAATGAGACTCATCCGTCGGCTCAAGTCTCCTTGCGACCGTCAAAGACGACCAGATGAGGAAGAGAGAAAGAGTCTATGATCGGTCACATTCGACATCTTCGGTCCCTCGGCAATTGACGAATCGAGCTCTAATGGGCCGCCATTTCCTCCGGTACTCCTCTACCGTATATTCTCTTCGAATTCTCCGACGTAAATATCCGCTTTCCTCCCGAGTTTTCATCGATTTCTTATCGAGCACTCTTGAAGCTCCTCTGTGGAGGGGAAGGCTTGTCTTCTGACGGCGATTCAAGGAAAGCATCTATTTCGAAGATTCGCTGCGATCGTTCCCGGTGGAATTCGATATCGATGTGTGTGATTGCCCCTAAGGTCGGGCCGAACACGACCAGTTCAGTCTTCTGTGGTAACGATTAACTTACTTGAAGCCTGTCCCGGTTCCACAACGAACACCGAACTCGAAGCGCTCAGGGAATTTCCACCTTCAGCTTCTTTGCCCTTCGCGCTCTTCCCGGTCACGGATTCCCGAGGTTGACAGGAGTTCTGCAATCAAGTGAAACACATGAAACTTCAATATCGACGGATGGATATGCACCGCATGTACCTGCATTTTCTGGCATGAATATCGGTAAAGAATTCTCGGGAGGCGAGCAGATGCGAATTCTGACGTACTCAAAACACATCGGATCGAATTCCCATCTTATCTGAGAAGAAGTGATTGCGTTGAGCCGACCAGTATTTGCGTTAGCGAGCTAGAATCCGGGATGCGACACAGCATATACGAAGAGACTTTGGGAACGGTCAGAGACGAGAAATTTTTCCGGCGCAAAATCGCTCGCGAGAGCCGCAGTCGAAATCACTCTCCGGAGATTGACGCGAGTCGATGGAACAGCGGCTGATATTTCGATTCGGTCTCCTAACCCGAATTTGCCCTCATTCGATCTCTTTCGAGAGAGTCAATGGGAATATGGAGGAGTTCTTTCCGATCGAGTTTGGACAGACACGCAGAAGCGAAGTACCACTTGCAAGCTTGTCTTCTCCCCAATTTGAATTGTTGTACAGTGGTCTCTTCCGAGTGGAGCAGCGAGGCATCTTTCGAGCCCTCTACTCTGCGAAATCGCGTGAACTTCATTCGATCTATTCTGAGGCCTTTCACTGGCGGCGTGGCAGACTTTCGATGTTCCCAAACAAACTGTGCACTCGTTCCAGAGGAAGCAGAGTTGAATTGGAAAAGGAATCACGTATTCCTCTCCTGTCCGGGAGTTTTCTTTCGGCACGAAAATAAACGATGCAGTGCAAGCTTCTGAGAGTCACTCATGTCCGCGGACCAGCGCATGTGAGCTCTGTCAGTGCGGAAAAGCCCTGCCGCCATGCAAGCGCGAGACGTCAAATATTCATCTGCGGGGCGGGCCGGCCCCAGCGTGGGGTCACTCGAGATTCGCTTATCGTCCTCGAGCTTGTTGTGTTCATCCTCTCGAGGAACTTGTAGCATCCGTACGCGGCAAGAGCAACCGGTCGGCTTCCGCGTCCCTCCGGAGCCAGGAGACTGCACGTCGATACGAGGAGTGGACAGGAAATCGAGAGAGCTCTCGACACTCCCGTCGAAGTCGCATAAACTGAGTTTTCCAGCTGCTCTCGATCTCTGTCTCTCCGGCTGACGGAACGACGCGTGGTTTCCCCCTCTATGTGGAGATTTTATGATCGAGTGCTCGGTAGCTCAGATGTGGAAATGCGCTCAACGTACGAACGCTCCCCATCCCAAGAGTTTGAACTTTCCCTTGGAGAAGTAATCCGCTAGGATGTTGTCACGCTGCGCCGCCGAGCGTAATCCGACGTCAGTGAGTAGTCGCTGCAGCATACGATCGCTCCAGGGGAGGAGTTTCCTGTGAAATCGGTCCGAGATCCTCCGGAGCGAGGGAATTATATGGCGGGATAACGTTGAGCCTTCGGCGCAGAAGCATTCGGACGAGGAGTCGGGGTCGAGCGGGTTCGGATATCTGAGCCCCTCGGGCGGACAATGACAAGAGACGCACTTGAATTCCTATGATGCGGTCGTTCTCTCGCCCGTGTCGCGGACATGTCCGCGGTTTTCTGGCTCAAACTTCTGTTCCGGAATTTTCAAGCGCGAGTCTTGAGGCGCAATTAAGTTGTACAGCAATGAGGCGAGTTGAACATTAATCAAAGAGTTTTTCCACGAAGGCGCACTCAGTTTCGTCCATTCCTCCGCTAGTCCGCATCTCTTGCCTCCAGTCATCGCGTTCAGGACAAACAACAATCACTCTACTTCCTAACGATTCGCCCGGTCTCTAGCCGGTCCGACTCGTGGCACCGCGGATACGCCGATGTTCCTTCTTCGTCAACAACGGAGTAGTTCGGCTTCCTCCGGAGGCTCGCGAGCCCGAATTCCGGAGTATTTTCGCGCAAACGATGAATCTCTCTTGAGGAGCATGTCTAGAAATCTTCAAAACTCTAAAAGTCTTGACGGGACCAGATGGGACCCCCTCCACCATGACTCGGTTCATGACCTCTAGCCTAGCCCACCTTGAAAGGAGTGATGTTTCTCCCCGCCAGGAGCCGAAACCCGGATGTTGTGATAATCGTTATTGGCGATGTTCTCACAATGCCGAATTACATCGGACACCGGGAATTGTTCCTCGAATTGTTCTCCTTCGCTCACGCCTCCCGGAGAAAAGTGATCCCTTACCTCAGGACATTCGTTCTCGCCCGGACAGATGGACACATCGCACTGAACGTGGATCTTGTTAGAGTCGGGGAACTTGAAACGAGCGTCCAAATCGGCTTCGGCGTAGTCCTTATCCTCGACAAACTTGAAAGCCTCCATGAAGTTCCCGGTAGGACAACCTCGACGGTCGATCAGTTCGACATCGGAGTGGTTCGCGGAGAAGGCGAAGCAAGATTTGACCCGGATCCCTCGCACGCCTGGAATCGACGGAGATAGAGTTGATTCCTCCACAAAAAGGAGCGTAGAATGGGACGAGCCTCGAGTTTCCGAAAGATTCAATTATTCCTTCGAATCTGTGTACTCACTGCCAGGACCGGACACTGTAGCTCGAATTTTGTATCTTCTGCCAACGATTAGTTCAGGAACCTTCTTGTCGTCTTCCATGAAGCTGAGGCTGACTCGATTGAGCTCGTTCCTGGAAAATTGATCACCCATTTAATGGATGCAGGACTTTGATTAATGAACTCGAATCCCGCAGTCATTATGTTGTATCTATCGAGTGTCCCTGAGCGGACGTGATCGCTGTCGACACGACGATGCTCTGGACGGAGTGAAACAGTTTGTGAAGCCATCGGCATCGGCTGTTGGAGTATTCCACGGGAGTGACTAATCCCGAATTCTGATAGATCTCAACGCTCAGCTCTCCATGGGAGGGTTTCGGGGGTTTCTTCTCATCACGTTTTTGGAGGATAGTTCCCCGCTGACTCCCTTCCTCACTCTGCCACCCCAAGTTCCTTGTTTAGCGAATCCACTGAGTACCATACGGCATCATTCACACGGTTCGGCATCATCCGTGCTCGGAATCAGCCCCAGTCGACTGCGAACTCCGCGCTAATGATATCCGGTACTGCGAGAGTATCTCAGCGAAGGAAAACGGGACCCCAAAGCATCAATAATGGAAAGCGGACGTGTCTGTACTTCACTTTATCGCAGTAGAATTCAGGACTAATGGAATATCATCGCGGTAACATGGAATATTCCGAGGGCGCGGTATACGAGCGTTTGTGAGCACATCTAAAGAAGGGAAGGCGAACAGAGCGACGCTCTCTGACGAGACCGGGTCTGAGGTCTCGATCCAGACATACGAATTCGGGAGTCCAAGCCCAGGATAATGACTGAATGATTCACACTGTCAATGAGCGCGCGTACGAAGGCGATTATCATCGTCGCTGAGGCGCTAGGCTTACCGCAATAATACCAGTCGGAGAGAATCTGTCATGAAATCTCGGACGGGGATATGTCGTCAGGCGGATCGGGGCCGCGATCGAACGACGAAAGCGGAGCGTGTGACTCAAGTCTTGATTAGTATGAATCGAGTTTTATGTATATGCGAGCGGCGAGAGTACCGCGTAGGTGAAACTGTGCTTTACGTTGAGCTTCAACGAACGAGTAATGAAACACCATCAACATTAAAGACACGGCGAGACGATTTCCCCCTTGAATGCTCCGTTTTTCAGGTCGCCCCAAGCTTGCGGAGGAATTCCGACGGACACAAAAGAGGAAAAGTCTCAGTCAGAAGAAGACTCGGCCAACGCTGATTCTGGCAATGAACACATCACGATGCGGCTCCACGGGGTGACGTCGGTGTCTTGGATTCAAATGCATGCACAAAATATACCGTCGACCCGAATCGTGTTTTTCTCGGTGCTGCTGCTGCTCCTCTTCAGTCCGGCCTCGCCATCAATGTAAAGAGGGACTAACGGTAGTTAGCAGCCACCGGCGTAACCGATGCCGCCTGCACCGCCGCCGTCACTCAGGACTATTAATTCTAACAAGGAGGAGATATATTACCATTAGCGCAGCGAACCGAAGCAATGACCTTTTGCAGAGAAGTATCGGTTCCGATGACATGCATTCGGTGATAGTGCTTCCCTGACCACAATTCTTTGCACACACATACGAGTTATTCTCCAATGGCTAGTAGGGGGTGAATTGTGTTTCGATTAGAGCACAAAAATGGATTGGCCGAGGGGTTTGAAATCTCCGGGAACGATCCGTCGGTTCCGTGAGGGAACGTCTTTCCTACTGCTCATATTTCGGTTCGAGAATGTTTTCATTTTACCCACAGAGCGGAGATTCGGCGTCAACTTCAGATGGGCAATTACGCCGCCCGGTCTTAATCCTTACCCTTCCATTGAATTTTCGCTCGCGAAAGGACTCCACAAAGTTTTTCTTATCTCCACGGTCTACGCTAACCCGCTCAGAAGTTCAGCCGTCCTCTGTTTTCGAAATGTTTATTCAAACTGATCTCGAGAGCTCTGAGAGATTCCCACCGAGTCACTGAGCGTCTCGTTCAGATGTCGACGGCGGAACAAAAACATGGATTGAGGAAGGAAATTCAAGTTCCGATCGGCTTAATATCCCCATGCCGATGAGCCGGTTCTTTCGCCTGGGTCGACGAGGACCTCCTCCAATCCTGCTTAATGTTCCACCTCCTTCGATTCGACTTTATGTTCTACCTTCTCCGAATCTGATACATGTTCCATCTTCTCCGATTTCGTTACATGGTCCGTATCTCAGTCAATTGAGCTCCCGCACGATCGCGAAGAAGAGAAAAAGCAGAGATTTAGTGCGATCGACTCTGAAGCCATTGACATCTGCCGTTGTATTGGTTCAAGTCGAGAAAACAATGACCTCGTGAATTGCGCGCAGCCGATCCGACGTTGTGATTCGACTGAGCGTCGCATTCGATGACCGTTTCTGATTTGGCGAGGAAGAAGATCCTCGGAAATTTCATGGGTTGAAGGACACGACCTCGAATTACTCGTCGCAGCTTAAGCTGCGTCCCTACGGAGTTCCGCGGAACTCGACGCAATTGCCTTTTCGGTTTGTCCGCTTTTCCCATCCATGTCGCCGTTCTCTCCCTCTCTGGATATCTTTTTTCCACACATTTCTCCTAACAGAACTTACACCATGCAAATTCAGCCGCGCACAAGCGGAAGGAATCTTTCAGAGCGACCCGGAAAGTTCGAATGCAACTTTTTCTCACACGCCTGACAAGTTTTGTGAAACACAAGGGGTACCCGCCTTCCCTTTTTCCTCGGAGGTGGGAAAGGGTCCCAGAGGAAGGCTAGGGAGAGGCTCCGGAGCAACCTACGCTGGAGACTGCGTACTCGCTTCGAGGCCGATCAGGAGTGACTGCATCAAAATCCTGTCAATTATTTCCAGAAAAACGTCCCCCGCAGTCGACATCGCTTGACATTGTCGTAAAAGCCCTGAGATACATTGTTCAAGCGAAAGCTGAATACCAGAATGCAACCCGAGTCAGCAATTCATAACTCTCCTGAGCGTGAGCTCGTCCAATGCCGTTCGGAAGTCACAGAACGCGTTCTTCCGTCCGGAGTGGCTGCTCGTTTTGGAGAGAAATTTCCCATGTCGTTATGCAGAGTACCTCTCATGGGAATGCGTCGCTCGCTCAGTCGGAGCCGCATCTTTCCGCGACTGCACTCCAATCAAAACTGATGAAATTGAGAAAGAACAACTAACCTTGCGTTGCGGAAGTTTCCTTTGCCGCACGAGATGATGTAGGATTTGTCCTCTTGCAGCTCGAGTGATTTGTGTACTCGGACGTAGACTGCGACGTAGCGTTCCTCAGAAAATTCCTGCAAATATTCGAAGGATGATTTCTCTGTCGGTATGCTTTGGAAGTTATGCTGTAATCTCTCGGAGGGAAAGACTTCTTCAACCCATAGCAGAGTTCGCGAGTGCGATTGCCGAGTACAAAAACCGCCTAGAACAGGAAGAGTCGACACGTACAGCTCCCGGGAATCAATGCTTCCCCCTGACCTTGAAACTTGCCGAGAGCTTCTCGATTAGATTCTGGGCGTTCCTACTCCGACCCGTGATATGACGTCTCCGAAGAGCGCATTTATCGCACCCTGATGTCTCTGTCTGACTATTTGAACATCGATGATTCGATCCTTCCACGGGAACTTATCGATAATGGCGCCCTCATAGGATGAAAGGAAGACATCAATCGCTGTCGATCGCTCCCCAATGAAGTGTTTCGATGGCTGAGTCACCCTCCACCTCTTCATCAGCGGAGAACCATCGTTGAATAAGTCCGCTGAGGCCGAAACTCGCGGCCAGGAACCCGAAGTATTCAGATAATGGTGTCTCGCTTTTCCCGACCGACGGTAACTTTCAGGTTCCTCCCCAGCTTGGTCCGTCTCGGTCAGCCGAGGCAGGTAGTTCAACAAGGTTCTCGAGTTTCGATCACGCAGATTCCGAATTTTTCGGAGAATGATCACATACCAAGCAAGAAACACTGGAATCCTGAGAAGACCCACATGATGGACGACTGGAATTTCCACCTCGAGAGAGTAAAAGCAGAGCTAGGAAAAAGCGGCAGCAACGTTTCGTGAAATCCAACAACAGCGTGTCTGGCGTCGCAGCTTGCAGAAAGAAAATATAATATGGGAAAAATGGAGCGGAGTCGGGCGTTGTCGGAGTCCTCGGTCATAAAGCACCTTTTTTACATCTGGTGGAGACATTGAAGTCAACAGTTTGACTACAATAGTCGAACGTCATAAGTCCCCGGAGTCCGAACGATTGTATGCAGATGAAAGTATAACACAAGCGACATAACGAAGATACGTCGGCTGACTTCTGCGGAGTCGACGGACCGTCTGGTTTCGGACCGACACCATTGTTCAAGATTCCAAGTTTCAAGTGTGGATTCCGAAATCATTGTTCGAATAATTCGAAGCCTCCACTCCAGAGCAAGCGGCACATGCGGCCGAGTCATTCCTCAGGACTCTAGCGATACCCCCGGTAGGGTTTCTCTCTCAGCGGAAATAGTTCCAATTTGATCTAGGAATTATTATCGAGTAAAATTCCAAAGCTCCCGATGAAATTCCGTAAAGGTTAGCCTGATGCGACAGAATAACTCCGATGATTTCCTAAGAGAATAGACTCGGTCCCTAGATGGAAGAAACGCTGCTGGAACAATTTTTCGAGAGAAAAATGACGGCGCGGCGCCTGTAGGTACCAACGAAGCCCAACGCCTCCGCTATCGGAATTCAATTGCAATCCAACTCGTTTCAAGGTATTTACACGATCGCAGCGAAGGCTTTCCGATTCGCTCAGAAGGCTGGTATTTCGAGCAAGCATTCGCTCGCCTTCGCCGACCGGACCATTCATTCGTCTGTCCATCGGCCGGCATCTCCAGAAAAAGAATCTATTCCACGGAAAACTTGCTCGATTGGGACGGAGGGGAATAAGACGAAACGTTTATTATATAACACGACAATGCTACGAGTCGATTGTGCATCGTTTGCCGTTTGACTTCCACATGGCTAGCATGCGGCTGGTAGCGTCGCACGGTGCCTGCCATTGTAAATCTCCACCCCTGTGGTGGAGTGGCGTTTTCCCATCGAAGACCATTGACCCATAGAAAAGCGGCAGAGCTGAAAGCTCGAAGAACGGCCTCCCTTGGAGCCGTGTTCTGCTCTTTCGGCTTTCTCGTCCCCCGTTCCGGGGTTCGGGGAGGCAGGATAACATTCAGGGCGACTAGACAGAAAGTTGATCGGAGCTTAGAATTCTCGGATGGAGTATCCTCCGAACTATCGGGGTTGAAATTCTCCGTTTCGGGGAAGCTCGTGCAGTGGAAGACTCCTTCCATGGGATTGGTATCGGGACAAAGGAAAGAGTCATCAATCCCAGACCGCGGACGACACTTCACGAAAAGAAAGCTTCTTCAGCTCTCTTAATCCATTTTACGCTCTGGATTTCAGACCGACTGAAGTTCTTCTTCGTCTCGGCATTCCACGATGAGGGACGTCCTAGAACTCTTTTCGGGGGCGGAAGTCGAGGGAAAGGCATAATGGCGAGAGAACGTCATCAGAGACCGCTCATGAGCGTAAGCATCAGACCAACACGGAAATAGTCGCTTTCGTTTCACGGGATGCCATCGCGGTCGTTAGCGGGTAAATGAACGACGATCTGGTTCCGATACGCGGTACAAGGGTGAGACTTTCTCCTGATTCTCTTCACAGGATGATGAAGAACTTCAGCGAGCTCCTTCTCGCTGACGCGGGGAGCTTCGCGTCCCATTGGTACTAATAATTCTGGTGGAATGGTCGATCCGTTTTTCAGCTGTGTGGCCGACCGCCGAAGAGGCTTTCTGACTTGTCGGCTGGTTGTCCTTCCCGGCAAACTACCCACGGGCGGCCAGGGTGCGAGCTGCTCCGCTGTTGCCGCCGAGTGAGACCAGACCATATTCGAGCAGAACAAGGTGGGAGCCATTGAAGGTGGCCAAAAGCCAGAAGATGTTTATGAACTACAATTTACATTCGGCTGCCACATCAACCGAAAGCGCATTTCACTTTCACAGTCTCCTGCTTTGTCCGGCACATGCTTTAGTCGAACCGAATGGCTCGATCGAAACTTCATCCATGTGGCATAAGTTCACGAATTCCATCCTCATTGAACTCATTGATGGCAATCCAATGCAGAAGGCGCGAGGGATATGCGAATTGTATTCTCTGGAAATCTTATTCGAGCGGGATCGTTCGAGACGGTCGGAACAATCCATCGCGGGATTAGATCGGCAGCGAGACCCTGCGTTTGCGCGTGATTTATGGTTCCAGCTGGGATCCGAGCACCGCGATTCCAGCGACGAGCTCGTGTTCCTCCATCCGCTCGTTGGCGTCCCTTGCCCGCGCGGCAACTTGTTCATTGGGTGCGATCTGCGACTTGCGTTCTCGTTCGTAGCCGAACAACGTTTGTCGGTCTGTATCCTGCATTTCTGGAATTTCAGCAGCTCGCAAAATCGCCAAAGGTCATCAGGACAGACGGTTCGTTTCGGAAAAGGAGAATCGCTCGCTTCTGTGATACACACAGGCGAACGAACAACCAGTTACATGGATGCCTCCGGCGGAATTCACTGAATTCTTGCTGAAGTTCGAGCACCTCGCGGAGCAGACGCCCTCATGCTATCGCGAAGCACTGTGCGCCCTTATGGAGCCGGCTTCCGAGATTCCGCCGTGGACGGACAGCCGATTAACGAAAATTCACGAAACGTGCTCCGATCTTCCGGATTGATCGCTCTGTTTCACCGGGAGGAAAAATTGCGACTAAGACATCGACTATCGGGAATTTTCAGGTGTGTCCGAAAAAACGCTCCGAGGGAGTTGACTTCTTCGCTGAGCGTTTTTTCCTCAGGAGAGAAGAAATTCAGCTCAGTCCGAAGGATGAAGGTGCCAAGGGGTGAAGCCTCCCAGCTTCTTTTTAGCCGGTCAAGCGAGCCGTCAGGCAAAGGGCAAACTTGAACGTTTTTTCTGTTCCTATTTCTGTAAGGGCAAGGACGAACCATGACCTGCAGATGAATTCGGTAACATGGCGGAGATGCGTTCAATTTTCTGCCGGACTAACGTAAAAGACTGACAGCCGAAATTTTCCTCTCGAATTCTCGGTTCTCTTCCATTATTTTCCGACCCTAAGGGGATTCGAAAGTCTTGATCAGCTTCGCGGGCACCGAGCTGCGCGCTGCTCCAAAAAAAAAACTCGAATTGTCTTCTTTCGACTACGCTCCATTTGTCCAGGTCCGGACTCACTCACGATTTTTTTGAAAATTGGTGAACCTAGATCCGCGACTACAGCCACCGCGTCCGCTGAACCACGAACGCGTCGCTAATGTAGCTTTTGTATGGCTGAAATTCTTGGGTTCGCTCTTGCACGCGGAACGAGCACATGCGCGCGTGCTCCGCGCATACCCACGACGAACACTGTCGCTATTTACGAAAATCTTGATTGCCACAGCGACCGAATGCGCGAACAAACAATTTTCGGAATTTCTCTCTACATCTCGCTTCGGTTCTTCTGAATCTTCGGTTCGTCGTGGAGGAACAACTTCTGACCCGGTGCGGACGAGCGGGCATCCAGACCCACGACCACGCATCCAGACCGCGCGAGCGTGAGCTAGAAATTAATGAACACAACGAGAACTCGACCCGGAATACCCGGAAAATAAACGGGCTACAACGAGAGGGAAGCATGGATGAGTTACGAATCGGTGCGCGGAGCTTTTGTATCGAGGGAGCTCTTCCGCCGCATATGCTTGCGTATAACGTTGCGGATGATTGAATTCTTAGCAGCGTTCCCCGTCCGTCCGTCTCCTCCCTCTCTTTGCTCTCGCGGCGTTTTCCAGCATTCTTGGCAGACGTGCCGTCATTACCGCAGCCGCCTTTACCGTTGTTATTACGAGACGTCGTCGTTGACGACGGAAACTGGCAAACACCGGCATATAATCACTCGTTTCGTTCTCTCGGGTCGGTGACTCGTCGTTCGAGGGTTCGATACTCGCTACCGCGCCGGAAACTTTGCAAAACACTGCGGAGACAGGAGACCTCCTTCGCTCAGCCATTAGCACCGGTGGAGAGTTCTTTATCCGAGGACGTTTCCCTCTTCGGTCTGGTTCTTCGCTCATTCTTCCTGAGGAGTAGCAGAAGCTGCGGCGACAAGGCCAGCTGAAACACGTGTTTTTTCCTTTTGCGATCAAACCCGATCGGCGAGATCCCCGACTCTTTTGAGCTCTGTTCCTGGTCCTGCTTATTTTCCAGTTCCCTCCACCGACGGCAGCCGAAGGATTTCCGGAAGATCTTTCCCGTCCTACAAGCTGCGAGAGATTTTCGCCTGGACTGGAGACGACAGCGACGAACGACCGAAGACGACGCGCGAGATTATTAAAGGACCCCGAGAAATGTACTCGGCACAGCGAAGCAGAGGGGCGGCCAAGGGATTGGTTCAAACATCCTTCCAGGATCCGGGACGCTAGAGTTTTCCATCCTGAAAGTATGCTCCGCTCGCAAGCTTCGGAGCGCTCTGAGTGAGTTTCAAGCCGAGTCGCTTCACTTCAGCTTTGCTCGACCCGCAAATCCCCTCTCGCTGAATCGTCGGCTCGCTATCTACCTGGCTCGGACGGGATCTGGTCCGCTCCCGTTTTTCGCTTCCTCCTACTCCGCAGGCTCATATCTCTGGGTCGGCTCCTGAACCCTCTGTCGTTGCATCCCAGACGACCCGCGATGCCTACGGCAGACGCACCATTATCGCTCGGGCTCGTTCGATGTCTTTTTATTAATTATATTTAAAGGGTATTATTTTTCTCTCCCTGGACAACCAGCAGAATCGTTATGTTTATATCCGATCCGCTGATACAGAAATCGAGCTCGATCGCCAGATCGTAGAACACGCTGCTTCAGAAACAACTTAGCGGACTCTTTCTACCAAGGTCGAATGAAACTGGCCGCTGATAAATTGTCTACAATCCGCCTCCCTCAATGTGCAGCTGTGCTCGCTGCTTCTCGTAGCTGCTGCGTTATGTCGGCTAAATACGCGCCGGGCGGACCGTTTCCCGTTATACCGTTAGCGTTCTACCGATGATGTCACCGCGAGCAACTGGAGATATATCCTGTGGTGGCGAAACCCAGAAACGATTGTGATCGAGCACTAGAAACGCAACAAGATCGCCAGCTGAGGAGAAGGCTCTCCGTTTCCGCATCGAAGTGGCTCCATGCATCATCTCACGAAGAGAGCCGCCTGATCTGGACAACAGATCCGACGGATAGAGATCTGATTTTGATTCGATTTGACAGACAAGCCTGATTCGGATTCGAGAAAAAACGGCGGAAGACCCGACCCAGTAGCTGTTCCAATGTCTCTTGGTCTCGCAGATCGCAGTCAATTTTCCTGGGATGTGAAGTTCCGGGGATAATGACGATTCCCCATCTCCAGAACACTCCATGTTTCCGAAATTGAGGTACCTATGACTCTCGGGCTGGCTCCGAGGATCATTAATCATCGCTGTGAGTCTTCAGTTATCGCTCACGATTTCGGTCGCAGCTCTCCGGCGAAACGACTCCCAAGCGGGCAGCTGCCGCCGCGGCCACGTGGGACAAGTTCAAATAGATGAACATCTTCTAAAAATACCCACATGCTTCCTCGACACGAAGTTTGGTGAGAACTCATCCAGAGATATTCAAATTTCACTGTAGGAGACATCGTCGAGTGGATTCCGGCTCGCAAGAACTGCCGCGCCGCTGGAAGACCCAAAGAACGAGACGTTGCGGTTCGAGCCGAACAAATGCGCACGGCATGGCGCGGCACCGGCGCGTAACTCGAGTCGCTCCTGCCGTGGCTCTCGTGTTGTCTGATTCCGTAGCAATTATTTTACAGGGTTTGTTGGACGCCTGCTTGAATAAGATATCGATTAAAGTCGCCCGCGTCCGAGGGGGTCAATCGTGAGCATTCATCGCTTCATTGAACTGATGCGATGATTGGTGGACGCCGAGTCACTCGTTGCTCGCTTACTCGGTCCATTCGTCCGTCGCTCGGATGCTCCGTGGCTCGCGCAAAGAGCGAACGAGCGGCCGAGTCATCGGTCCGCTGGATGTTTGTGTGCCGACTCCTCGTTCGCCAGACGGTCAAGAGGAACTTCAAGGCCCACTCAGTGGAGGACAGTTCTCGAGCCGGCGGTGCATTCGAGACCCCTTAAGAGGGGAAAACCATAGGCCGGGCTATCGTTAGGGATCCCTCAGTCAGACAGGACTCGGAAGATTGTTGGCTCCGTGTTGGCGTAGCGCGACCATGAGAGGGAGTGGCGAACTAGTGGCGTGGAATGGAAGCCGCGCTCTTCCGTGTGAGGCCTGTCTCTCCGAACACCCCCGCCATGTATTGCCCCGTCGGGGCTTCCTGTAGCACTCCTGCAACGACCCTTTTCCCCCGCACCCATCTTCCTTTCCGGGCTGCATCAGCAGCGGAGCGCCCCCCCCCCCCTCGAAGATCAAGACCCATTCGTTCCGCGAGTACTCGCACGTTAAATGGGGGAATCGCTAAATTTTTCGCCTCCGCATCCTGGAGACCTTCGTACGACCTCTATTTCCCACTCGTGAACCCACGCCGTCGAGCGGACCTTCTCGTTTTACTTTGCGCGTCCTGAAAATCCTTCTCCCGCGGCTCGCTTTTAGGCAGCAGGTGTTCGGACTACTGATGTGGACTGTGAGCAGGAGCTCAGCTGATTCCTTTCTGAGGCGAGGCCATAGTTTACGCTGCGAATTCTCTGGACGTATTGCGCGTCTTGGGGAGCGCAGGCGGTTATTCACTGCTGGTAAATGATCTTGAACAATGATTCCGAATATTCCGAAAACCGTAATGACCCAATGAGCCGCTAATTGAAAACTCGAAAAACAGGTCCAAGTCCCCGCACAGAAAATTCATCGATCGAAGGTGCCGAGACACGGCGGATGAATGAATCGGAAGGCGACTAGAAACAGGGATGAGTCGGCGACCTTGGCATCTCATTTGCAACGAAACCGCCGATTAGCATACTCCCAGAATCGGACACAGTCGCTTCCACCTGGGGTGCTTTTCAAGAGACCGATTTTTTCGATCGATGGCTCCGCTACCGTCCTCTGCACTATTTTTCTCGATCATTTCCAGCGCAGCGGTCCTCTTCCACCGGGAAACTGGATCTTCATCATTCCCCGGGTAAAACTCGCGCCGATGAATCTGAGGACGCGCAGCTCATCATCCGGCAAGCAGAGGGATCGAAGATGTTCTTGCGGTCCACAAGCTCGGGTGCCAATGAATCCAGAGTCGAAGTTCCACCGTGAAGTCATTGCTTCGTAGCGAATGGTTTCACGGTTGGTAGCGTCCGCGACAGGCACAGCTCCGAGCCGATAGACCTTCAAAGATTGCGTGTTAAGGTCCCATTCTCGGGGCACCGAGATGTTTCCGAACCACCTACTCCACTGAAACAATCATTACTTGTTCGTATGGAATTGTGAGTAGCGATCTTCGAGGCAGATCGACTCGCATGCGAGCGGCGCCGGCGCAAACCTCAATCTCATGCCTGAGAAAAATTGAGGCGACGCGAGGAAATTTTTCCGTCGCCTCTCGGTCTGAAGAGGAGGCACGACAGAGAACGGGATTGAGATTCGCATGGATTCCCGCCGCAGCATTAAGGCATCATAAGTTCCGAACTCAAACATGAGGTTGGAACTGAGGCGAGAGGTTTCTGAGGAGGGATCCCCAGAGATATTCATCACCCTCACGGAAAGGAAAGATCATGTTTCCTAATAAGGGTCTGTAACGGAACGACAAAACGCATTTAAACAGAGGTTTCGGTCGAAATCCGGGATTTTCGCGGAAGGAGCGCAACTCTTGCTCCAATGTGCTGCGGGCAGATTATCCGAACCCGAACTCAGTTGGAATTATGTTTTTCCATATATTTTTGGGGGATCCAGAGGTCTCCGAGCGATGTCTGCGCTCGATTATAGCAATTTGAAGCTTGTTTTCTTCCCGTTGCTTGAAGTTCTCTAGCTACAAAAAAAGAATGGAAGCGCCTCCGGGGAATAGAGGACAACATACCCTTTTGCGGACTCCACAGTAGAGCGGATCGTCGTTCCTGGAGAAAAGACTGAGCCGCAGCGAAGTGTTCGTTCCACCTTGCCCGTAGGCTACGCACGGCTCCCGGCGGAGTTCTTTGGTTACTCCACGATCATTGATGTCCCTCGTGTGTATAACTCCCTGGAACGGTTTATCCGTCTGCACCGAGATCGTGATGTAGCCTTTATCGCAGACAGCGCTGACTGACGGTGAGAACTCCTCTTCCGCTTGAGAAATCGCCTGCAAATGTGAAAAAACGCCTCTTGTCAACACGGATCCGTATTTTAGGCCGTATCCGTATTCTCAACGCTATGAATTCAGAACTCTCACACTGTGTCAGAAAAGTCGAACTTGATAAACTTCCGGAGAAGCTCGTTCGGACCGGCGCATAGCGAATAGCGACGCCCTCAACGGGCATCTTCCCCAGCTCTTCTTTCCAGCCTCTGGGTTCTACGATCGGAGGCGAGCCCAACGAGATTCTATTTGAGCGACTTTAGCGCAGGGGGACGGACGAAGATAAGTCTTTACCCTAATTTAAGTTGGTTCCCTGCGCAACAGGTTGCTCCTGCTACAAAGTAGGAGTCGAGGAGCAGCATTCCGAATCGAGGAGGATCCGGCTCTAGCCCCGAACGAGCTATATGCTAGGAGTCGTTCGACTTTGTTCTCATTCAGCAGAGAGGGCTCCATTACCCGAAGTTTATCCTTGCGGAACCAGAAGACCAACAGTCCGTCCGAAAGGGGTAGCCATGGGAGCTAGTACCGGAGTCAGGATGCAAATATGCAAGACTCGCATAGAGGTAGCTGAGCACGTGTTTCGGTCTCCGTGAGCGGCACGTTCATCGAGTGGGTCACGTGCTGTCATCGCCCTGTTGGACTCCCGTTTCCCAGCGTTCAGAGTTCGTGCTGAGAGACCGGAACGTTTTTTTTAGGGCGACGTTCATTACCGCCCACCGTCGACCTGCTCGCGTTCCGCGGAAGAGACCGAGCTCCCTCGATCGTTGAACCACCTCAGGGGCTATCTGGGCGGAAGAGACCCACGACAAGCTCGCGGCGGTATTTCTCACAATCTTTTCCGATTTTAAATTCGATTCATACAGAGCATAGATTCGGTGGGGGGGGGCGAGAGAACGGGGAGGCTATCGCTTGGCATCCATGACGCTTCGCGAGCCGAAGCCCGCGAATCGCGTCGGACCATCCACGATCTCGGCTCGATTGCGTCATGAGCAAGAGCTGATCTTGACTCTGGTGTCGACGATCCGTCAAAATGGTCGCTCCGTCTAAACGCCATCAACGAGCTATGCTGTCGTTCCGCGTTGATTTTCAGCTCAAATCGCTCGTCTCACAGGCCACCAGTTTCGAAAGACAACAATCAATGACAGAAGATAAACGTAAGCGTATTCCCCTCCTTTTTAACGGCGCCGTTGGCAAGGTACTAGGAAACAGGGCAAAGATTCGCTTCGGACTGGACCAGAAAAATCGCAGCTAATCCGCTTTCCTGTGGGTTTTGTGTTCCGTTCTGAGCGATTCCGCTCAAAGCGACCAACGCACGAACCAACGAGCGCACGTCGTTTTTTTTTAGATTATTCTGTTGGCTATCGCAAGTCGTCCGGATTTTCCTCCGTCGACAGATGTCCTACGTTCGAATGCGTTTCATCAGAATTGTCAAATATTCCGGCAATGTGTTTTCTGATACGGCTCGTCCCCCTTCCCGCGATTTCAAGCAGGTTCGATGGGACGGGATAAAGCTCACCCGAGAAGTAGACAACTCTTTCCGTCGATACATCATCCGGGAATATCCATCCATCCATGCGAGTACTTATACGAGTTCTCAGATGCTCTGAGTATTCTCGAGACTTTTGAATTAATTATCAGGAAATATTTCCGTGACTTGAGCTCTCCGAGACACCGCCTCCCGTGGCTGGCAACAGTTCTCACACTTCTGTCTCGAATAAACCAGGGCTATTGCTAATCTGGAACGTCCCTGTCAGAAATTCTGAATTCTCATACAATCGTCAGTGGAATGATCGCTTGACTTCGATTGGTCGTTCTTCGTTTCGGACGAGAAGGAAAATGCACCGAGCCACCAAGGTCGACATCACTTGTTTGATTAGAAAGGAAAGCCCCGTTAGACTATCGGTCAACAAGAACTGCCGACTTTCTTCAGCAAATAGAGGAATCAGGATGAAGAGGAGCGAATTGTGAAACTTTCCAAGTTTCGACCGAGTCGTCCAAGAGCTCGATGCTGACATGGAGAGCTCTCCTACGACGCTGGCGAGCTACGAATCTCAGGATGATTCTTCTTCAGCCGTAATAATCGCAAAAACGTCTGCCGGAGAGATGGATCACAATGTCGAGAAAGACGGCTGCTCGATGCTCGACGCGAATAGCATAAGTTTTCCAGAGATTCCCGAGACAAGGATCTCGTGCCGCCAAGTCTGGGCTCGGGCATCAAGAAGAGGAACAAGCGCCTCACCGTCTCAGCTAGATAGCGAGCCGTCGAGCCGTCAAAATCGTGAACAAACCGCCACCGCCACATCATCACCGCCATAAAACTCGCGCAAATGTGAGAAAATTCCGAACTAAAGACTTGAAAAAAAAGCGAGACATCCCTTGAATCCGAATGATGCGAACGGTCTCTTATGACGACTCTCCCGTTTCGAATCAAAATTCGAAACAGACATCATTGAAGTTGACTGCGTTAAGCAACTATGAAAAAGCACGAGTAATATTTCACTCCGAAAACAGTCACGCGGAGAGGGGAAGAGCCTCTTGACGACACGATCCGGTGACCGCTACGAGACGGTCAACAAATGACCGTGAGCAAAACATTCTTTGAATTCGAGGGTTCTGCGTGCACGCGCGACGTGCCTAGAATACGGAGACGCTGCTGCAGCGTACGAGTTCGACGGTCGCGGTCGATTGACTTGATGCGAAAGCGAACTCCCAGCGAGAAAAGAGGGAGACAACTGAGCTAGGCGCGGAATGAGTGAATGATGGAATTCCCAAAAAATTATTCCAATGATGAAGATTGTTTTTCCGCAGTGTCAGTGAAGAGATTCCAAGTCGCTAAAAGAATATTCAAGAAATGAATTGTGCGGATTTCAGATTTTTTAACATCTTCAGCTCTGCGCTAACTTCTTCTGTGGGCTCTGCCGAACGGATGACGAAGTCAGGCCCTGCGTCTGCCGGTTTGAATGGACGCAATCTGAATAGGTGGAGGGTAGAGCTGGACCGAGAACCGGACTATTATCTCATATTTCCAGTCGAAAACTAGCTGGTCGCCGCGCGAAAAGCGCCACGTCGGTGGCCTTGTTGGAACTGACGGAAGAATCATAAATATTTCTTTCTTTATGAAAATAATAGAGACAGAAGCACATCGTCCCTGATACTTCTGCTTTCTTCGAAGGTACAGCTGGTGCCGATTCTTCCTCGGAACGAGTCGATGGACATGGTGCATGGTCGTGCTGAGTGAACTCCGATCGATCAACGTTTGCATGACGATGAGAATGATTACGAATTCTCAATGCTCAAATTTGAATATCGAATCGAAGAGGTGACAACAAACTGGTGGAAGTTATCTCTTCTTCGGTCAGACCGCCCCGCTATCTTCGCCGGGACGTCGATCGAAACTCGCGGAACCAAGGTTGCGCGAGAATCGGATCGAGAGGGAGAGAGCGTCTGTGCTTTTCCCGTTCATATTCCTCGAACGAGAAGAAATGCTGCCGTCGGCATTTGAACCGCAAGTCGACAACAGAGGTGATAATATCTTAGAATATAGGAGGCAGAGCTCCTGTTTGCGGATGGAGCCAACAATTTCGGAGACATGTCGAGTGTCGTCGATGCGGGTTCCGTGTTCCAGCCAGGGCGCCACCAACGCAACGCTTTTTCCGCGCATCCATTAATAGCCACATCTCCTAGAAATCCTCTATCTATAAATCGATTCCGGGTTGAGCCGTTTTGTGGAAGTACGAATGTTTTTGCCCTTCACCATAGCGAGATGAAATAATAAATCATACGGAGACGGAACAATCGTTTTGCTTCTGTCGCGGTAGAAACAATTTCCCCGAGTGGCTAAAGAGTCGCTTCCAATTAGCGGCCTTAGCCGAGACAAGAGCGAATCCTGGCCAACGCCGAACCGCTCACTCGCTGCCTTTCTCCACGGTCGGTCAACGTCACTAGCGGAAAAAAGCTCCGTCGCTTTCTTCCTAACGTCAAAGACACTGTCGCGCGTTCATTAACTTCTTAGCCCGGAACTTGGTTAACTGGCTCGAGCGGGGCAACTTGGCGGACCATTGGACGGGTCGAGCGTAACAAGCTGCTCGCCGAGCGGTCCGGTGCGGGGATAAAGCATGACGATACCGACGAAGAATGATGATGGGCTCGCGCGCGAACGAGAAACCGAATCAGCGGAGGTATCGCTGCTGCGATCGATTCCCGGGAGTCACTGACCAGTGAGCAATTATCGGATCTGTATCGATCCTCGCGCGCCTCCAGTCAGAGCTGGTCGTATTCAAACCACATACAAATGCGTAAACACAGCGAAGGTCAGAATTCCGTCCATGAGGGAGAAAGTGGATGTCTTTGCAATGGAACAGATCCTAGCAAAAACCTCCCAGAGGGACTCATCTTTTTAGGCTTCATTTTCTCGTCTCGTTCGCTATCTTCTTTTTTGTTGTGGGACAAGGTCGAGGATTCAGATCCGCTTGAGCTGCTCAACGTCCTTCGCTCTTTCGAAAATGAGATCTTCATGTCATGCTTCAACGGTGGCAACCGCTTCATCATGGGGAAATGGAGTGTTGGACCCATCTCATTCTGCGGGAACGCTCGGCTCGACGATAAATAATAATGAATAAATGGTATTCCATGCTCTCGTGGACTTGCAGTGCGACATCGAGGCATCATATTTCGATTCGAGAATTCCAATGTGGATGGAAGAGATCCGTAGAGCTCGAGGCCCGCGGTACGGGTAGGGAAACTAGCGCCCAAGGGAGAAGAAACGGTACGCACATGTATGTCAGCAGGGGAAATCGGGTATGAAACCAATGTTCACAACATATATTCACCCATATCATCATCATGTAGGTACTTCGATTATGATCTTATCCCTCGAGTTTTTTTTCGATCGTTTTTGAACCGGCGGATTGCTCCGGGCGTAGAAGAGTCTGATTCGGTGCACTACTGTACGAAGACAGATCCCCGTAGGAGTGTCGGATCGCTCCAAGATACACCTCGGCATTGTTGAATGACGTTTTTGAACCTTGTACTGATCGACTGGTGAGTGTCGAAGTCTCCTTGGTATCACTGAGCACGGAAACAAAGGACTATTTTCTGCGGCGAGTTTTCTGTCTACCCCTCAGACACCGACGAAGAAGACGACATCGACAGAATGGAGGTAAAGATATCACCGTTGTCAACGGC